CCACCTCCGCTCTCTGCCCTCCGTCCTGCCACCCACTCACTTCTTGATGGCAAACACGGTGAGCCCGACCGTGACGTTCTGGAGCCGGAACTGCTCGTTCAGGATGTCAATGTTGAAGGTCCCCTCCCAGACGATGGGCGCCAGCCAGGGGGTCAGGACGAGGACGTCTTTCCTCCTGCGCCGAGAGCCCACAGCCACGTGTGAGCGGGCAGGAGGGGGACACACTCCGCCTGTGCTCCCTGCGGCACCGGGCGCCCCACTCGGCCCCATGCCCTCGGCGCCCCAGGCGGACCATCCTTCCAGAGGACGTGCCCTCGGCAAGCAACCCGCCTGATGCCAGTCCAGATGCAAACGTGGGAGATCCCCCCTGACCAGCTCTGCACCCTGAGGACCCGGGGCAGCGGGACCTGCCGGCGAAGGGGACCCCCTGCAGGAGGCCCCACCCTCCAACTGTCTTGGTGAACAGAGGACAGAGAACAGGATGCGGAGCGCAGGGGGAAGGACAGAGACTGTGGGCTCCAGGCTCAGAGCCCAGGCCGCCAGAGCACGGAGTGCGGCGGAGCCAGGCCCGGGAGCGACGGCAGTGGCCCGCCCTTTAGGACATGGGGAGAGTGACGGTGAGCTTCAAGAAAAGTACTCACGAGGGCGTCAGCACCGTGGGCTGCGGATAAAGCATCCTGAAAAACAGCACAGCGTGGCCTGAGTGTCGGGGAGTCCCGTGGAAGTCGCCGGCAGGGCAGGGTGGCTGCTGAGAGTGCCAGGCTGTGCCTTCTCCCCGGACCCGGAGCCCAGGCTCCTCCGCAGGCACCTCGGGGAGGCTGGGCCTCTGCGTGTCGCTTCCCCGCGTGTGCACTGGGCCCTGGATCTAAAGGCCTCGGGCCTTTGCCTCCCTCTGACCCGAAGTGGCGGGATCCCAGGGTCCCGCCTCGGTTCACGGTGGGCGGGAGGGCCGGGAAGTGCCCTCTGGGTGGGTGGGTGCCCCAGGAAGGAGCTGGCCCAGAGGAACGGCCGTCAGACATGCAAGGGGCTCTGCTGGGCTCTGTCTGGGCGACAGGAACACCCCTGACGTGGCCGTCACGGGACCAGCTCCAACAGCGGCTGCGGCTCCGTCAGGGGCCACAGCCTGGGCCGTGTGTGCGCAGGGCCAGTCCCAACCGAAGTCTGTGGAGGCCCGAATGTGGGCCAGCGGGCCGTGGGTCATTGTAAAATGACCGCCATGTGCACTCCGGGATGCAGTTAAAGTAGGGTGTCTGCCCTGGCCGGTGTGGCTCGGTTGGAGAATTGTCCCAGGCACCAGAGGGGGGTGGGTTCGATTCCTGGTCAGGGCACCCAGAAGCGGGAGGTCAATACTGAAGCCGGACGTGTGGAGTCAGTCCTGCCCAGGTGACCCTTCAAAGTCAGGGACTTGGCCGAGCTGCTCTGAGTGTGGGGAGAGGGACCAGACAAGCAGGAGGCCCTGACCCACCGATGGGGGGCTGGGTCCTCAGAGCATGGAGCAGTGCCGGGCTGTCAGGGCACGTGACCCACCCTCACTCACTCACCCTTCTCCTTCTGGTCTGGTCTCCAGCATCGGGATTCTTGGGCTCAGGACCCCTGCGCTGTGGAAGAGCCCCCCAAAGGCCCTTGTTGAGGAGCTGGTCTGGGACGGCCTGTCCACCTTCCCCAGGCAAAGCAGAAGGTGAGCCAGGTCATGACCCCGAGCTCCCCAGAGCAGCTGCCCTCGGGCAGGGCCAGGGGCCAGTCTCCCCAAAGCTCAGGTGACTGGTCCCAAGGAGGGGCAGTCCCTGCGGCCAGTGCCCCCATGCGAGCCCCTGCGCGGCTGGAGCAGGTCCCGTGCATGGCCGGCTGGTCCGAGGCTGCCCCCAGACGGGTTCCTGGCAGGGCCCTGCCCCAGGAGAGCGGCCGTGACCTCACTCCCCGGTTCCAGGACCTTCTCCATCTGGGAGCGGCTGACAGCGCGGCTTCCGCACTCGCAGCCACACAGCGGAGGGGTCCTGGCCTCGCCCGACTCCCCACTAGTGACGTGGGGGGAGCACAGCTCACCCACAAGGTGAGGCCTCAGTAGGAGGGAGTGTGAAGCCGGGCGGTGGGCCGTGAGGCGGCTGTCACCAGTCCGGTCACTACAGTTGTGATCCCGGGGCGGCAGGATTGGGGTGGGGAACAGCTCAGGGCACCCCACTGGGATCCGATCGGCTCCTGCTGCAGCTTCTCCCAAGCCCGGCAGACCCAGAGGGTCTCGCACGCTTCTTACCCAAAGAGGACGAGGACGAGCGTGACCAGGAGAAAGGCCAGAGGTCGAAGCGAGCAGCACGTAGGTTTTCCTGGAAAACAGGGTGGAAACCCGGTCACTCTAACTCAGTGGTTCTCAACCTTCCTAATGCCGCGACCCTTTAATACAGTTCCTCATGTTGTGACCCAACCATAAAATTATTTTCGTTGCTACTTCATAACTGTAATGTTGCTACTGTTATGAATCGTCATGTAAATATCTGATATGCAGGATGGTCTTAGGCGACCCCTGTGAAAGGGTCGTTCGCCCCTCAAAGGGGTCGCGACCCACAGGTTGAGAACCGCTGCTAGCTGCTCCTGCCTCCGAGCCCTCCTCTGTCTGGCTGTGCTGGGGACACTGGCCCGGCTCCGCCAGGAGAGCCGCCCCTCGCAGGGCGAGTTTGGAGCAAAACTGGAGCCCCTTTAAGACCCAGTCCAATCCCAACGTTTGTCTGTCTCCTTCAGAGGGGCCCAAAGTTCTTCCTCCCAGCACCCCCCCAAGGGATCCCCGACTCCCAGATGCCCAGCCTCCCCAGGCCTCTTTCCACTGAGCCCCCCCCCTTTCCTTGGAGACCGACGTGACCCCAGGGGCATGAGCAGGAGGACGGCTGCTGCCCCCCTCCCCCCCCCGTCCCCTCCAGCATGGGGGGTGGGGGCTGGAAAGAATTTCCTTTCAGTTTTGAAAATACTATTCCATGTTTCCTTTAAAAACTGTTAACATACACACTTATCTGAGGTATCATTTATAGGCGATAAAACGTTGCATTTTAAGTCCGGAGGTTGATGAGTATTTAACAATGTGTACACGTGTGTAACCACTGCCCCAGCCCAGCCAGATGCACAAGTTCCCTCCTGCCCACTGCCCCCCGCCCTCGCCCCAGGCGACCGCTAACCTAACCGGCTTCCCTCACAGATTCCCCTGCAGCGCAGTGTCTGAACGCGATCAGATAAACACGCTCCTGCCTGGCGTTATTCACACACCATCTTTAAGATTCTTCCTGCTGTCGCCTGCACCAAGAGTTGGTTCTGGGGCCTCTGGGAGCAGGCCGGGGTCAGCCGATGCCTGTGCCCACCCGGGGCCACTTGGTAGGAGCTGCAGAGTGCTCTGTGGGGTAGCTGCCTGAGCTGGGAGAGGCTGTGCTGTGACAGGTGCTGGGCATGGGGTTGCTTAGCAGGAGGTACAGGCAGGCTGAGGCCAGACGCTGCTGGTTTGGGGTGGTTTTTTGAACCTTTGAGAGACTTTTAGAAAAGTCCACAGGGCAGGCCCAGGCCTGTCTGCCAACAATTTAGACAACTTAGAGGAAATGCACGGATGGTTGGAAGACTCACACTAGAAGGGAACAGGACTAAATGGTTGTGACACGGGTTTAAGCAAAGAATTCTTACAGATGACACCGAAAGCACAAACAATAAAAGAAGAAAAAAGTTAAATAGGAGTTAATCAAAATGAAAGCTTTTGGACGGGGGGTACCGGATGAAAGGTGAAGAGAGTAGCCGAAGAACATATATGTGCAACCAATGGACACAGACAACAGTGGGGTGATGGCCAGAGGCGGGGGTGGGGGCTGAGTGGAGGTGGGTAACGGGGGAGGAATGGGGGACATCTGTAATAGTGTCAACAATAAAAGCTTTTTAAAAACTTTTGCACTTCAAATACACCATTAAGAAAGTGAGCCCGGCTGGCGTGGCTCAGTGGTTGAGCGTTGACTTATGAATCAGGAGGTTGGGGTTTGGTTCCCAGTCAGGGCACATGCCCGGGTGGCAGGCTTAGTCCCCAGTAGGGGGCGTGCAGGAGGCAGCCGATCAATGATTCTCGCTCATCATTGATGTTTCTCTCTCTCTATCCCTCTCCTTCCCTCTCCAAAATAAAAAAATAAACCCTAAAGCGTAGAAACAACCAAAATGCCCATCAATGGGTGATAGACAATGGTACCCATACAATGAGATTATTCAGCAATAAACATGAATGAAATGCGGATACACGCTACGGCCTTGCAAACGTGCCTCTAAGAGAAGGAAGTCAGATGCAAAAGATCACTTATGCCTTGAGATGAATATAGGATGCATGTGCGAAGTCCAGAAAAGGTAAAGCTGTAGAGACAGAAAGTGGCTGAAAATAGGCACTAGAGAATTTAGGGCGCTGAAGGGGAAATTCTAAAATGTATTACACATATCTGTAAATTGACTAAGCATAATTTAATATTACACATAAAACAGGTAAATGTTATGATATATAAATGTTTTCAATAAAGTTATTTTTTAAAAGTGCCACCAGAACCTAGCCGGTTTGGCTCAGTGGATAGAGCATTGGCCTGCAGACTGAAGGGTCCCGGGTTCGATTCTGGTCAAGGGCAATGGCTGGGTTGCAGGCTCCCAGCCCGCATTGGGGGCATGCGGGAGACAACCTGATGGGGAGCATAAGACATTTTGGGGGCTAGCAGTCTGAATTTGCCAGGTAAGCTGCTTTCTACTGCACTCTCTTGCTAGCCGAAAATTAACTCCATTTGTGAAAGAACGTAGGAGACTCTGTACCTAAGTTAATCAATGCCCCTAAGGCACATTCCGGAAGTCACTGCCCCTTCCTTAATTATCTGGTCTGGCAAGAGCTGTTTACCTAAATACTCCAATTCACAAGGGCCACAAACCAAAGATGTAACAGCTTAGCTAGAGGGAGGTCACTGGCGCCATCGCCATGGGGGATGGACATTAGCTACAATCTAAGTTAGCCATCCAACTGGCTCTTGGGGGCGGGGGGCGGGGCTGTGAGAGTCCGCTACAGAAGAAACAAAGGAACTCAGGAATATATAAAGAGAAAATCTCAGTGTCCACGTTGTGCAGGATCTGGATCTTAGCGTCCCCTGAACCAGCAGCGCTGCTTTGAATAGAGGCTTTTCCTGAACCTCAGCGTGTCCAATAGTCTCTTCTGCGCCAAATCCATAAATTCCATATTCCATAACAACCAAACGATGTGTCTCTCTCACATCGGTGTTTCTCTCTCTTTCTCTCCCTCTCCCTTCCACTCTCTCTAAAAATCAACGGGGAAAATATCCTCGGGTGAAGATTAAAAAAAAAAGAAGTGCCACCAGTAGGAGCTCATTGGCCCTAAGCTAACGGGAGAGAGAGAAGCAGGTGTGTTCGGTGTCGGGCTCAGTAAAGACGGACTTGAAGTTCTGCTTGTGATTCCGCTCGAGCCTCTGCCCCACTCGTTCCCCCGAGACCTGCCACAGCCAGAGAACTCCCCCTCTTCCTCAGCAGCCTCCAGGGCAGCCAGCCCGCCTGGCCTCCCCTGCCCCCCAAAAGCGGAGGTGAGGCCTCTGCTCTATTTTACACCCTCCTGAACCCAACCCCAAAGTTCTGTCCTCAAATGTGAACACAGGAACTGAGCTGAATGAATGGGCCATTTGTCCTCTGTGGCCTCCTGGGTCCCGGTTCCTGGCCCATTCCCAGCCCGGCAGTGGCACCCTGTGCCCACGTGAGTGTCTGCTCTCCGGGCACAGCTCCCACTGCGCACTAAGGTGCCAACTCTGCCGGGCGACAGCAGGTGTGCAGGTGACTGGTGACTAAGGCAAGGGGGGGGGGGCGGGGGCGGGGGAGGAGCGGCCCCAGGGCCTTCTGGAGGGGAAGGGCGCGCCCACCAGGGGTCAGCCTCCGGAATCCCAGTTCAGGGAGAGAAAGGCCAGTGTGCGTCAGGGAGGGGTGGGAGCCCAGGTGGCGTGGCTCAGTGGTTGAGCAACGACCTCTATAAACCAGGAGGTCCTGGTTTGATTCCCGGTCAGGGCACATACGGGGTTGCTGGCTGACCCCAGTATGGGGCGTGCAGGAGGCAGCCATCAATGATTCTCTCTCATCATTGATGTTTCTATTTCTCTCTCCCTCTCCCTTCCTCTACGAAATCAATAAAAATCTATCTATCCATCTATCTATCTATCTATCTATCTATCTATCTATAATTTTAAAGAGAGAGGGTGTGGGAGATTCCTGGAGACGGATGCGCTGACCGCAGGGCCACCGGACCTAGCCAGGACCAGAGGACCAGGACCCCGAGGCCAGCCGGCCGCCGCCCCC